ATCACTTAAAACTGTATAAACTAAGAAGTAAAGATCCTCTCTTTGTCTCCTAATCTCAGTCTCCAGGGACAAAAAACAAAATCATTTAATGATTTGGTTCATGTCCCTCCCAATTTCTCTCCGTGTTTTTATAGACATATCTAAAGAACCAAAAACCAAACTCATTGCCGTTGAGTCAGTTCCAACTCATAGTGACCCCTCCTTGAGCTTCCGAGGTGGTATCTCAATGGAAGTAGATTGCCCAGTCTTCCTTCCGAAGAGTGGCTGGTGGGTTTGAACTACCAGCCTTCTGGTTAGCAGTCAAATACCTTAGGCACTATGCCACCAGAGCTCCTATAGACATATCTAGTATGTCAAAAAGGAGCTCTGGTGGTATAGTGCCTAAGGCATTTGACTGCTAACTGGAAGACTGATGGTTCAAATCCACCAGACATTCCACAGAAGCAAGACTGGGCAATCTACTTCCATAAAGGTTTACTGCCTCAGAAACCCAATGGGGGTCGCTTTGAATCAGAATAGACTTGAGGGCAGTGGCTTTGGTTTGCTTTAGGCATATCAAAAGGAGCTGTGGTGGCTTTTCAGCTGCTAACTTAAAGGTTGGCAGTTCAAACTCACCCAACAGCCCCATGGAAGAAAGACATGGTGATCTGCTTCCATAAATATTACAGCCAAAATATGTGTCAACTTGGCTGGGCTGTTCCTCAGTAGTTTGGCAGCCATGCAATGATGTAATTTGGCAGTTATGTAATGATGTGATCATCCCCCATGATGTGATCTGATGTGATTAGCCAGTCAGTTATAAAGGGATCAGGGTGGGATGCAACACCCTTACTCAGGTCACAGCCCTGAGGTGTGGCTTGCATCATCTTTTATCTTGCAAGAGATAAAAGAAAAGAGAAACAAGCAGAGAGAGAAGAACCTCTATACCACCAAGAAAGAAGAGCCAGAAATGAACACATTCTTTGGACCTAGAGTCCCTGTGCTGAGAACCTCCTAGATCCAGAGGAAGATTGATGTCAAGACACATGGAGATCTCCAAGGGATGCCAAGTCCACAATGTTGAAAAGAGACAAGGACCTTCCCCCAAGAGTCAACAGAGAGAGAAAGCCTTTCCCCAGAGCTGACATCCTGAATTCAGACTTCTAGTCTCCCAAACTGTGAAAGAATAAATTTCTGTTTGTTAAAGCCACCTACTTGTGGTATTTCTATTATAGCAGCACTAGAGAACTAAGACACCTTCCAAAATGGGAACAGAGTTGTGTCATGGATCATGACTGACTTCTAAGTCCCCTTCCAACCCTAAATTCACAAACAAAAGAAGATTTAAAAAGCCCTCTATACCAAGTATGACTTGAATTTGACAAACTAGATTGTGTGATTTTCTATTTTGAATTTTCTTATTTTCAATCAAATTCTTAATCACTGTTATCAGGGAAGGTTGGGAGTTTCTAACTTTCATATTGCCATTCCTTTTTATATTGTATATTTCACCTCAGTGCAATCTTAATTACCCAAGTTTGTTAGAACAATATTTCTGAATAGGGATTAACACAATTTCCTGGTAAATAGCTAAACTGACATTTAGCACATGCGTGAAGCCCAAAGATCAGGAAATGAAATCTCCTTCATAGTTGTTACAGAAGCTGCTCCTCACCCAGACCAGCGCCGAGTATCAAGGAGAAAGGCTAATTTTCCCTATTGATGCGTTTGTTGTTTCAAACTACCCCTTCAGTTATGATCCCATAGGTAACAAATGAAGCATTGTCAAGTCTTTTCTAATCTTCTCAATGGGCAATTATGTATTTTTAAGACAATAAATTTTATCCATAGTGCAGCTGATTACATTCATTTATGAAAATGACTAAATACAGTGAATCAAAATTTTTTTGTCTGGTTACTTTAATATAATCATCAGAGCCATGATTGAAAGTGCAATGGACCTGGAACCAGAACACTTGGCTTTAAGCCCAGCTCTTCTACTCAAAAGCTATGTGACCTCAAGTAAATTACTCACCTTTGCAAGCCTCTATCTTTTTATCTGTAGAAAAGGGAGAATGATACTACCCAATACATTTCAGCTCTGAGATTGTTGATTGTGGTCAAGGAGGGATACAAAGGAAGCTTCCAAGGTGTCTTTAAGTTTCTAGATCTTAAACTGGGCTGTGGTATATGCATGTTTGTTTTATCATTAAATTGTTCATACACATTTTATGTATTTGTGGTATGCATGATATATTTCACAATAAATTCCTAAAGCATTAACTAAATGCTGTTATAAATATCTGTTGACATGCTTGATAAAAAGTAAATAAATACGAACTGCCGTCAAGTCAACTCTGACTCATGGTAACGCCCTATGCATCAGAGGGAAACGGTGCAACACAGGGTTTCCAGTGGTTGATTTTTCAGAAGTAGTTCACCACGACTTTCTTCTGAGGCTCCCGTGGGTGGGCTCACACCTCCAACCTTTTGGTTAGCAGCTGAACACGCACACCATTTGCACCACCTGCGACTCTTAAAAGTAAATACAGCTCGAGTTTTCCTCTGGATCTCCAACAAACAGAAACAGCCTAGATAGGAGACAAAATAATTTGTCCCTCAAATCAAAAAATGTTCTTTTTAAAAATAGTTTAATTGAAAGAGTAATCAGAGAATATTCTGAACAAGACCAAAGGGCATATCATGATAAGTACGGCTCCCTCCCACCCTGGCCCTCTACTCCCCCTCACTCAAGGGTTTTTAGGTCTCCCTCCAGAAATATTCAAGGCGTATACAAGCATGTGTGTGTGCAGCACTTCTTACCATGACTGGAACATGTTATACATATTGCTCTCTACTTTGCTTTTTTTTTTTTTTTTTTCTCATTTGTCTTGGAGATTCTTCAATATCAGCTCTTATGGATTTAAATTCACTTTTTTTTTTCTCAGCTACTTAGTGTTTCATTGTATGGGTATACCATAATTTATTTAACCAGACCTCACTGATAAATATTTAGACTATTTGTAGTGTTTGCTCTTTCCTGCAACACCATCTTTGTACTTAAACATCTTCTTACATGAGTGTAAACTGTAGAATAAATCCTAAATTATAATTGATGGGCCAAAAGGTAAACACAACAAATCAAACTCACTGCTGTCAAGTCAATTGTGATTCATAGCGACCCCACCTTGGGTTTCTAAGGCAGTATCACTACAGAATTAGATTGCCCAAACTTCCTTCCGAGGAGTGGCTGGTGAGTTTGAACTGCTAGCCTTCTGGTTAGCAGTCGAATGCCTTAGGCACTATGCCACCAGAGGGTAGATCCATTTAAATTTTAGTGAATATTGCAAATTGCCTTCCAAAGGGACTGATTCCCTTTATACTTCCATCAGCCTTACAAGTGAACAAGTATTTCCTGACATTCTTGTCATGGTGTGTTCTGTTAATCTTTTTTATTTGCAAATCTAAGAGCTGAAGATTGCATTTCATTGTTTTAATTTATTTATTTAGCTACAAGTAAAGATGAGACACTCCTTTTTCTCTAAATTTCCTATTTGAGTGGGCCTTTTATCCATTTTTCTTTTAGGTTTTGTCCCTTACTGCTTTGTAACAGCTGTCAAAAGAAACTGATTCAATAATAAAAGTAATGAATCAGATGAGGTTACTTGGGCAGAAATTTTGAGAATCAGCACCAAACCAAAAGTGGAAAGGTATTCTGTGGAGTTTCATTGACAACTTGGCTTTTTATTGACAAAACACAGAAGCAAAAGAAGCTTATTTCTAATTGGCTTATGCAATTTACTATTGAAGAGCTATCAGGAGTTCCCTGGACAAGGAAGGTGGAAGCACGGTCAGAATCTCATTGTTCAACGAGGGCGGCCTGATTTACAGGAAAGCTGGGCTTAAGTTTCAATAAAGACAAGTCTTAGAGGAGCTGTCCTTTCAACCATTTTGTTAACCAGGAAATTGCATTTTTATTTCATATAAAATATGATGTATTTCATATATACTAGGCAAATTCCCAAAACTAGACCAAACTCACTGCTGTCAAGTCAATTCCAACTCATAGTGACCTTATGGGACAGAGTAGAACTGCCTCAAAAGGTTTCCAAGGGTGCTTTACAGAAGCCCACTGACTCATCTTTCTCCCGTACAGTGGCTGGTGGGTTCAGACCACCAAATTTTTGGTTTGCAGCTGAGCACTTTAACCACTGTGCCACCAGTGTTCCTTTCTAGGCAAATTAAACTCCAAACCATACTCACTGCCATTGAGTCAATTCCAATTCATAGCAACCCCTGCTGGGTTTCCGAAGCTGTAAATCTTTATGTGAGCAGATTGTCCCATCTTCCTCCCTGGAGCAGCTGGTGGGTTTGAACTGCTGACCTTCTGGTTTTTTAAGGTTGTGTTTGCTTTTTTGTATTGCCTGTAGTACTTTTCCCCCTTACAAAACTTTTTAATTATTAGACAATCAAATTGATCACATTCTTCCTACATATGTTAGGAAACACATATGGATTTTGTTTCTTGGAAAAGTCTTTCCCTCCAATATCATTATAAATAAATATTCTTCTCAAGTTCTCCTCTAGTAGTTATACTGGTTTGTTCTTTACTTTCATATTTTTTATCAATGACACGGTTAACGTATTTAGTAAGGATCTCTGGTGGCACAGTGGCTAAGCACTTTGCTGCTAATCGAGAAGTCACCATTTCAAACCTACCAGCAGCTCCTTGGGAAAAAGATGTGTCAGTCTGCTTCCATTAAGATTACAGCCTTGAAAGCCTTCTGTGGCATTCAATGAGTTGGGTCCTACTCGACAGCACATAACAACAACTCTGTCCTATAGAGTTGCTATGAGTCAGAATCAACTCAAAGCTGTGGGTTTATATTTCTCAGATATCTATGCCATATATTCTGCTGAAATACTTTGTGAAATTTTAACCGTTGCTTTCCACTTGCCTGAGTAAAATGCAAGTTCCACACTGACTGTCTACTGTGCTAACTCCCCTGTCTCCCCTGCAGGTCCGAGTGATGGTGGACCTGTGTAACAGCACCAAGGGCATCTGCCTGACAGGTAGGCTACCCACACAGAGAACACGTGTGCTGGCCAAAGGCTAGTGGCAGAATGAACACCTAGGAGCATTTTAAGTTATAAAAATAAATGTTCGCTTACTTCTACCAGATGTTTTTAATAGGCTGAAAATCAATTGTGAAGTAATTATGAAAAATAATATTTTCAGTATTGCCATAGAAATAGAGTCATGGGAAATAACTTGGACTTTGGTAATTAGAAACGTGTGGTACCTTGAACTGGGGCCATTGATGTTTTCCTTCCACCCATTAGTTAAAAAAAGAAAAGAAAAAGACCTCGCTAGGTGACTGAATTCTCTTAGAATTCTTAGTAGAGAAGAAATAATTTTTCCATTTCATACCTACAGCTTAAATGGTAAGCTCTGGAAGCAAACTGCTAATTAGTCAAGAAAACAAGTTTTAGGAAGAGTCTTCTGTGTGGTGCCTACCAAATGCTAGGCTGGTCCTACCCACCCCCTCTTTACTCTGATTCTTTGTTCAAATGAGTCAAGCTCAAATAGAAAGGGGGGAAAGGATTAATTGCACAAACACATCAAGCGCTGGGATAAGTAATGGCTGATGGATGGGGGCAGGGAGGGGAGTGGTTGTGATGTGATTATCTGCACCTGAAGAAGCCCCTGGATGGTGCAAATGATTAAGCATTCAGCTATGAACCAAAAGGTTAGTGGCTTGAGGATATCCAGAAGGACCTCCGAAACAAGTGCTGGCAGTATACTTCCAAAAGATAATAGTTATTGAAAACCCTATAGAGCACAGCTCTACTCTGAAATACATGGGGTTGCCATGAGTTGGACTTGACTTGATGGCAACTGACCTGGATTTTGATTTTTAATATTTTGTCTGTTCCTGAGGCTGAGGAAGCTCTCTATAATGCTTGAGGGGAGGGATCCATCTCCTGCCTTCAGAAGGTAGAAAACCAAACTCCAAACTCACTGCCATTGAATAGATTCTGCCTCATAGCAACCCCCATGAGGCTTGCAAGGCTGTACATCTTTATGGAAAACACAGACCCCCAACACAGTCTCCTCATTCATTGCTCCCCAGGCCAAGGAAGGGTGTGTGGCCAGGTCCCTGGCACCTACAGAGCCTAGATCCAGATGCTGAGCTCCCTGCCTCTCTGACTGGGGTGTGGCTTTCTAATGAAACAGTGGGAAATAATTTTTGTGTTAAAACAGTCAATTATGGAGTCAAAGCATAATTCCCTTGGACTTTATAAGATACCACAAGACTTTGAAGCCTCCAGAAGCTTTTGTTGGGCCACATCTGTTTATGGCCCCAGGCTCTGGGGGGGGCCTGATTTGTGCTTCCTAGGGTTGTTTCCTTTGACTGAGTTTGAGAAACCCCACCCCTTTCTACAATAGTCCCTCTCCCCCGTACCTCTCTTGACCTGCCACCATTAGGAGGAGTTCAGTGCAGGTATCTTGAATGAATAAGCCTGCAATGTCCATCAGTGAATAAATAAATGGAGATGGGGGGCTGGAAACAAAGATCCTTCTCTCAGGAGCCCCAGAACCCACATCTCTCACTTTGTCCTCAGAGAAAAAAGCTGTATAATGCTGTGGCTTCTTGGAAATGCTAATTGAATTACTCAAGTCATATTTCAGCCCTCACAGAAAATTAAATGTCTTCAGAACAGCTTGCTCCTTTACTCTGAAAGTTTTGTAACTTAAGCACCTTCCTTCCATCTCTGGAAGTCCTGTCTCAGAGTTCCCACAGAGTGTGACAGTAATGAGTGCTAGAGAAATGCTTACATGGATGGAATTACAGGCACAAAAGCCTTGTTGAGAGGTACAGGAAAAGCCTCTTCCTTTTTGATTTTTAAAGTGATAGAAAGAGAGCAGGGCTGCTCAGTGAATGCGCAAAAGTGACAGAGCTATTAAGACCACTCAGGGGAGACTGGCAGCGGGGAGGGGATCATATCTGGGATGGAAATGGGTTCAGGTGGTTATTCTTTGGCACCTCCAAAAGCTTTTAAAAAAAGCCAGCACTTTCTCCTTTCACACCAACTTGAAATTGGGCCTTCTTTTACCCAGAAAGCTCTTCGATTAAAACTTTAGGTGTGAGAAGTACAAGTGAGACAGTGTCTTAGGGTGGGCAAGCTGCTTGGGTGGGTGAAAGAGTGGACAACGCAACCCAGCACTGAGTTGAGCCACTTGAAGAGGTGGCAGGGGGAGGAAGCAGAGCCTTGGCCCAGAGTCCCAAGAAGAATAGATAGATTGAGGAGCCCCAAGAAACTGCCAAGCAAGAAAGGGTCACCAGGGCATAAAAGCGAGATCTAGCTTTACACTGGATTCATCTTTGAAAAAGCAGGCATTTGTAATCTGAGGCCAGTCCAGCTGTTACCATAAAACCCCATTCTTGCTCCTTTTCCTGCACTCAGTCAGGTTGCTATGGAGATAAGCACAGATATAGGGAAGTTTTGTACAGTTGTGACCTGTCAGGTATATCCTAAGAACAATTCACTCACTAGAATAGTCAGGTGTTTTTTGCAAATGCAGAGTTTGTCACACAACCTATGCTTTGCTGGATGCATCTTACCCTTGAACCTAGCTTTCCTTGGGGTGCCAACAGTATATCTTTTGGAAGAACGGGTATCTTGCAGAAAATAGGCTGTTGGGTTAACTTCACTTACAGTGGCCTCCACCTATGGACATGTTGGAAAATCACATAACATTGCTGAATTGCTTTTTGGGCAGAAGCACTTCAAGTCCACAATGCCAAATCCCCTTGCAGCCAAGTGACTCTAACCCAGAGATGGCAGCTACCACCACTCCCTTATTATACCAAGGGAGACATCAATAATGGATCACAGTGTTAAAAACCAAACCAAACTAAACTTAGTGCCATGGAGTCGGATCTGACTCATAGCAACCCCTCTTTGGGTTTCCGAGGCAGTATCACTACGGAAGTAGATTGCCCCATCTTCCTTCCAAGGAATGGCTGGTGGGTTTGAGCCACCAGCCTTCTGGTTAGCAGTCAAATGCCTTAAGGGATGAAAATTAGGAAAATAAAGAAAGGTGAGAATGGTTGCACAACTTGCGGGATATAGTCATTGTAACTGAATTATACATGTAGGAATAGTTGAATTGTTACTTATATTCAACAACAAAATAATAATAATAATGGATCACAGCAGCTACTGAGTGTGTTCTCATGTCATTCTTTCCTGGTGTTCCAGAAAGCCACTACTAACTAAGTCATGAGAATTGGCACTTGACATAAAACCTATTTGCCATCTCTGGTAGCATAGTGCCTAAGGCAACTGACTGCTAACCAGAAGGCTGGAGGTTCAAACCCACCAGCCACTCCTCAGAAGGAAGGTTGGGCAATCTACTTCCGTAGTGATACTGCCTCGGAAACCCAAGGAGGGGTTGCTATGAGTCAGGTCCGACTCAACGGCACATAACAACAACAACAACATCTGATTTATTGAGCTTACCATGGCCATGGTTGAAATTGTAATGTACCAAATAAATAGGATTGAGCTAAAGCTGCAGCTCAGTGGGAACAGGGTTTTGGTGCCCTGGGATTGGTCTACAGCTGGTTTCAGGGGCAGCTCCAGAGTGTAGACTACCATGCATAGGGTGGGTACTTCATCCTCAACCCTGAAGCAGTGCAGTACTGGTAAATGAATAGATAGGCAGTCTCAGAAACAGCTAGTGCTGCTGAGAGCCTTTCTACTTAACTGGCTTTGCTTGCTGGGCTATACAGACCAACTAGCCAGTTATTTTGGTGTTGGTGGCTTCAGCCTCCAGGTGTGAGATTTGGGCCCTCCAGGAACATCCCTTCAAGAGAGTCAGGCATGTCTGACTGTCATGGCTAGAGCCCTCATTGGGCCCTCAAATTGTGGCCAACACAAATCCAGACCTGAAGGAGTCCTTGCTCAGCGCCTAACAGTGGGAGACTGAGGACTACAGACTCAGTTTTGGGAGCTGCACCTTTGACTATTGTTGTTGTTAGATGCCATGGAGTGGTTTTTGACTCAAAGCGACCCCATGTGACAGAATAAAACTGCCCCATGGAGTTTCCTTGGGAGTTTTGATAGCATAGTGCCTAAGGCACTTGACTGCTAACCAGAAGGCTGGCAGTTCAAACCCACCAGCCACTCCTCGGAAGTAAAGGTTGGGCTATCTACTTCTGTAGTTATACTGCCTCGGAAACCCTAGGAGGGGTCCGACTCGATGGCATATAACAACAACAACAGAGTTTCCTTGGCTGTAATCTTTACAGAAGCAGGTTACCAGGTCCTTCTCCCATGGAGCCTCTGGGTGATTTCAGATCCTCAACCTTTTGGTTTAAAGCTGAGTGCTTAACTGGTTGAGCCCTCAGGTTACCTTCACTAACTCTTTCTAAAACAGAGGCAGATCACATTTTTTAAAAGTTTCTATCTGGGATATTGGTTTGGTTTCTTTTTTCCCCTCCATCAGCAAGACTGAGAAAGGTGTAGTCATTTCCTGTGTGGTCATTGCTATACTGAGATCCCATGTTAAAAAGCAGAGGCTGCTAATGGGATTAGAGTTACACAGAGGGGGTCTCCCTTGTCGTTTGGAATGGCTGTGGTGGGAGGAGCCAGAGGCCTGCAGAGTTACCCACAGGCTAGTGTGAGGACTTGTGAAAAGGGGTGAGACTTACATGTATTTATTATTTATTTCTCCATAACTGTTGTGCCTCTGTTTCCTGTCTCAATTAAGATTCTTTTGTTTGCAGTAGAATTTCTGTAGTAGCAGAAATCTACTACAGCATATTTGAGGGGGAAAAAAAGGAGGTTATGAATTATTATAAGGATACTAGTTGCTGATAAAGGAACTCTGATGGAATAGTGAATAAGGCATTTGGCTACTAACTAGAAGGTCAGTGGTTCAAACCCACCAGCCACTCCATGGAAGGAAGATAGGGCAATCTACTTCCGTAAAGATTTACAGCCTCAGAAACCCATTGGGGGTTGCTATGAGTCAGAATCGACTTGATGACAGTGAGATTTGG